GCGTATTCTCGATGTTTCGGTTCACTCAGGACTTACTGAATTTGCACCCAGCTGACCTTCAACCTGCGACGTTTGGAGTTAGGTCAACGCTTTCAACGCCGCGTGTAGTGACGACTAATGCCGTCTTGCACGCACACTAGATACACATCGCCGGCTTCACGTGCACGCAACGGGGCGTAGCTCGTATTTGCGTAGCGCTGCGACTCAGAACGCGACCCGAACATTGCGCGGTCACGCCACGGCAGCCTGGATTGAAGCCCCGCGCCACTCCGCCTGGGCACACCCGGCCCGCCCGCCTTCCCTCCCTCTGACCGTCTATAGCCTGCTTCTGACTGGTGAATCAACCCGGCAAAGAGGGGGGGGGGGGAAGGAGGTGGCCTGAAGGAAGGGGAATGGTGTAGAAGCCCGGGGTGAGGTTTTGCAAAATCGTTTTGGTGTGCAGAGGTGTGAGCCAGGTGAAAACGTCTAATGCTATTCCGCCTTCACGCAAAGAGTGTTCCATTCACAGATTTAACCCGCGATTTTAGGACAAAAGCTGATGTAGAAAAAATGCGCATACATCAAGCACGCACGCAGTTGTTCGTAAGCAATTGCAAGTAAGCAAAGGCTTGTAACTGATAATGTTCGCTTGCTCTCAGATATCACTGAAAGCTTATCTCTACGGAACCGAATTCCAAGGACGCCACCATCAGAAGCGAGCGTGGGGGAACACAGGAAAGTGTGATTCCCGTAGGCCACGAGGGTCACGAGCGTCCCAAAAGGCCATTTCACCTATATCGGGTGACGGTTAAGGGTTCGATTGGGGAGTCGAAGGGCAGACCGGCGATCATATGAAGGAACCTCAGCCCGAATACTGGACCCTTTAATGTTAATGAAAGGGCCCCTTGCACCGGTTGGGGAAACCTAGGACAGTGAGGGTCTTTATATCCGTATGCTGACTGGGAACACCAATACCGAATAGTCAGTTCCGCGCCGGTCAGAGCCCGAGCCCGTTTCTCAAACAGGGGCAAAGCCAGGGCCTGCAAATGCCAATCAAAATGCCTCCCACATTGGTCGTGGCCCCCAGAACAGTGACGAACCACCGTGCTGGTAGGGGGCCCAAAGGGCATAACATGAGGCCTCTGTGTCGACAACAGGTCCCAAATCGACCATGCGTTGGTCGGGACCCCTCCTGACAATAAAATGAGACATGAGAAGTGCTAGTTGAAGGGCTCACATTCACGGTGAGACGGTGTTAAGCCCCCGATCTAGTCAAAGGCCCCGGTGCCGAACGAGAAGAACTCCACACAGTTTCAACTGGAGACCGATAAACTGCCTTGGCACCATGGGGCCAATTACTGAACTTCTTGTACCGGTAAAACGTTCTTTCAATTGAGATTCCTTGCGCCGACCTGGTGTCGGATGCCCGGGTCAGAGGACCTGTCGCATTAGGGAGAGGGCCGGCGTATGATGTAACCTTCTGAGGACCTCCACACCAGGCGTTCGCTCACATCAGACCCATTTTGATTGCTGAGCTGCTTTGCATTCCTACATCGGTCATTAGCTAAAATAATTTTAAAAATGTATCCTTACAATTTTTCTGACGTTACACCAGGCTACCACTCATCCTGACGTTCTTCACATTGACATACAAAACCTAACAGCTTGCGCTTTTAGCTTCTTTAACCCTCGCCTTGATACGAGGAAGAGGGGTGATACGGCCTTCATTAAGCTTTTTTGAAGATACCCCTGGCATGTGGAGCAACGTGCACATCCAAATTTTCAGGAGTCTATGAGGCATCCACTGCGGGTCTTTTGACACCAACAACGTGTTCCTAGCTTTTATGGTTCTGGAGCAGCGGCGGTTTTTTTAAAGGAAAACTGCACGGCGAGACCCTATTTTCACAACTCTGGAAACACTGGGGTCGGGGTTGTATCGAGCCCCCTATCAGTTCGCATGATGAAAAACGGCGAATCAGGTGAAGGTTAAAAAAAGATACCTGAGCACACTGATGACATTCAAAACCGGTTATTTAAACTTGAATTTTAACTTTTGCATTTATTTAGCATTTCAAGCCATCAATAGAGAAAATAAAATGGCCATTTTCAGACGAGTTCACCACAGGTGACATATACCTGTCCAACTGCGCATTCTTGCAATCGCCACTGAAATAATGCAATATATGTGCATTGTATAATGGTCTGTATGGGTATTTGGACATTTGGCACATGGGTTTCTGTATGGGCCATTCTCTCACATACCGCACCGTTTCAATACATTACAAATGCGACGTTACATAATTCGCTTTTTAGCCTGCCTGTACCGCCTGAGTGCATCACTACAAATATTTTGGAAGTTCTATACGTCTTAAGAGAATTAGCTCTCCGATGGAACGCTTGGGCCCCTGCTGTGAAAATTCTGAGATCTCGCGGTGTGGCATATATAAACCTCCGTATAAGGTTCGAAAGAAGTCCACCGCATGAAAATAGGTTGAACAAGTTAGTGATGCACGAGTCTGATTTGACCTTGCTCAGTTAGTATACGGAAACTACGATGACAAACAAGTAAAATGGTAAATACTGATATAACTAAACTGCTTACGACTGATACCATTGCATGTATTGTTAGCATTAAAACTTTTCACTATCTTGACAACAGTGGCATGCACGCCTGCGGCAAACGCATTTCAAGATAACAGCTTTTTTGCATCTCAACATCCCTTAGCACGGCATGGGATCAGGGATGGGTATGCAGCGGCCCGGACGACAAAATACCTATCTCGTCGACGTAATACATGACGTCATGCCCCATAGATTCTGCGCCTTTTGGTGTTCGCAGCAATCCGGACGAGAGGGATTTGAAGTGATGTCGCGTAGAGTCTTTACCGGACGCGCGGAATATTTTTTGGTTATTTGAAATGTATTTGCAGCGCACCAAGAATATACTATTCTACATGACGTCACGAACAATCTTTGCCGGACGTGTTCGTAGTGCTACGCATTTTTTTATTTAAAACTTTGTAACTGTTGATAATATCTGCGCATGCAAAGACACAATACTTTGATTTGTAGGTACTATGAGCGTTTCAAAGAATGAACAAGTGCCATTTATTCTCTTCGCGACGACTTAAAGAATTTGTATCACTCATGGTCAGTCCCAGGCACGTAAATAATTTTTTATGGTTGAATCCGTTGAGCCACCTCTGCCTCACTCTGATCGAATTGCAGAACAGGATTCATGCCCAGCGTGCCCAGCAAAAATTCTACGTGATGTCACATGGAATCTTTGTCCGTCCGGGTCATTGCGAATACGCCCTTGATCGAAGTGGGATAGAAATGGCGCAACACGCTCAATTGTAAACAAGCCAATTTGCGCGCCCGGGATTAGTGACTTGGAAAGAAAAGATACGATATGCGTAACACACAGCATAATTTGCAGCTTGCATACTTAGCACCACGTGTACTACACGCGTATGTAAATGCCGGTGCCTGGCATGCGCAAGTTATTGTCACGGAAGTTACGAATATGTTAACAGAAAGTGCGTAACGCTGCGAACACGTCCAGCAAAGATTCTACGTGACGTCACGTACTAAAGAACATTCTTGGTGAGCAGCAAAAGCACCTAGATGGAGAGGAGTTGTTATGCAACAGACTGGTGAAATATTTCTACATGAGATAATACCAGATGTATGCATTCGTCAACCCCGATTTCTGACACATAGTGTAGCTGATAAAACCTTTGATAGTGCGTGCTGGAACTGGCAAACCGATCACCGCCCACGCACAAGCGGCCAGTGGCAGAAACAAAACTAAAAGACTAACTTCTATGTGATTCTTACGAAAGCACACTCACGAACAAAACATACCGATTTTTTCGCCCTGGTCCGCAATCTTCCAGATATCGACATTTCTTTGACATAATTTTTTCTCTTCGCGGGAAACACTTTTTCAACCTTAATGCCAATGAACTGGTTAAACAGCCAACCTAAGCGCTATATGCACATGCCAATAGCTTTCCCCGCCATGAGAGAATAAATTGTCACTTGTGGGGCGCCTTTCCCACTAATGCAGTGTTCTCCTTTTGCCTGTGTGTCATTATCGACCGCGCCAGGCAAAGGCCAAGCCGCAATACTGCAAACGTCGTCACATGAGTACTCCGGCAGCCATGACACTCAATGGAGCAAAATAAATGGGGTCGTCGTCCCAGTTACCCCGAATGCAAATACCTGTATGCTTGGGCGAATTTTGTAATGCCCGTGGCTGTAGGGATCCCACCAACCTTTGCGTTTAACACAGGCGTGAAGGATTAAGTGGCGCTGAGCTGGAAGAATTGGTATCATAGACATCCTGTTCCTCAATAAGCCTTCAGACAATCGTATCTCCATGCTTTTACTCACTTCTCCCCCCATGTCGCGTCCCGCGGCGCCCCGGACCAGCACACGCCGTGCCTCACCTGTTACGCCGCCCTTCCGCCCATCCGCGCGTCACGTGACCGGCCGGCGCGGCCCGCCGCGGTCATCGAGCGCGCCTATAGCAACGACGTGTTTACGCTCGGTCGCGCGACATTACCAATTCATGGCCGGGCATTCGCGCGAGGCCGAGCGGGGCGAGCGGTCGCCTCGTGCGTCAGTGGCCATTCCGGCAGCGCCGCAGGGCAACCGCGACCGTCGCCGCGAGCGCCTGACCCGCGGGCCGGCGGGGAGGGGCCGGAGAGTCTGCCGCGGTGGTGGGCTGCCCAGCGGCAGGTGCGCAGCAGCGGCCAGCCGGCCCGAACGAGGCCGCCTCCCGCACAGGCGGCCGCTCACGCCATTCCCGCTGCCGGCACGAACGGACGTCGACGGCGGCTGGCAGGTGTCCCTCCGCGCGGCCTCATCATCGTCGATATTTGCCGCCGGCGGATTGATCAAACAAGCCAGCCCACTTGCAGGTGCCGGGAGGAGGCGCGTGTTGCGCGGCGGACGACCGTGACCACGCCTGATTGGCCGCCAGCTCACCGGGCCGACGCCGACGTGACCCTGACATGGCCGGCGGGCCGGGCCGCGCACCCAGTGGAGGCGGGGACGGCGGCGGCCGCGTGCGGGCTCAGAAGCGACGCTCGCACGACGACGCTAAGGCGGCAGCCAAGCCCCGCTCCCAGCGCAGCTCGGCGGCCAGCCAGCAGCAGCCCGTGCGTGAGCTGTCCGCTATCCGGGAGGGGACCGACTCTGCGGCGGCGGACGACGGTCACGCCTCGCCGACCCAGGCGAGCCAGGGCAGCGAAGCGCAGTCGCCCAGGGACTCCGGCAACCACAGCCTGACGGGCGAAGAGGCGGTCGACGTGGGCGAACTACGGAAGGAGAACTTCGACGAGCCATCAACGGAGGGCTCAGACAAAATAGCAGACGAGGAGCCAGGCGAGCTGCGAACCGAGTCCGTCGAAGAATTACGGAACGACGTCTCGGAGCAGCTGGCGTCATCGACGACAGCAGACGCAGACGCAGTAAGCGTCGCCGACGACTCGGGCCAGCAGACGGTGCTGTCCGAAGCCGCACCAGACCAGGAGGAGCCGGCCCCCGACGACACGGAGCGGTCAGGCGCCATGTCCGGTGACATGGAAGTGCTGCGTCCGTCGGAGGAGCTGGCGCTGGACGGCAGGGCGGCTGGTGATGGCGAGGCACGTGCCGTCTCCCTGGAACGCGTCCTGATAGAGCAGTACCACGGCGATCCCGAGCTGGACAAGAACAACGACGTGTATCAGGACCAGGTTGAAGAGCAAACACTGTCCAACGGCACGGACCGACAACACGTCGAGAAGAAGGTTGCTGACGAAAGCGCGGCAAAGCCGGAGTCAAAACCCGCGCGCACGGATTCGCATACAAGCCGCAGGAAGGAACCAACCCGAGACGGTGACAGAAAGTCTCCTCCGAAGGCGAAGGAAAACGGGACCCACAAAGAACATAATGCTCCGTCCCGGGCCGTGCAGAACGGGACAGCGCGTGCTGAGTCCAGAAAGACGGCGGAGAGGAGCGAGGCCAAGTCGACCCGGAAGCCCACCAAAATCCCCCGATCGAGACCAATTGCCCGCAGCCAGGAGGACCTGCGGGCTGCTCGGGAGGAGGGAGCGGGCGAGCACGTGGCTGCGCTGCACGCCGCCAACGAGGACAGCGCACTTCAGAAGAGCACATCACTCGTCAGCATTCCGAGAAACCCTTCAGCTCAGGTGAGCTCATGTCGCGCTTTCCCAGAAGCCCACCAGCCATCTTTAATAACGACATTTTGTCCCAGTGCTCCTCTGCAGTTCGTCTTGTTCATCGTTTCCTGGAAATTTACCCCGGTGCTCCTCACCTCCGAGGTAAACGCTTTTTATGTCAAATACTTTTCATGAACGTTCTTCTATTCATAGCACATGTCAAGCGGAGCTTGTCGCCTGCTCTCTGGCCCTCCCATCCAAAGACATTCGACCCATTTCGTGATATAAGTTCCTTATAGCCTTACCAGACAGGGCTGCGAGGGGGTTTCCGTACCGCACAGCACTTCAGCACGGACGCTTAGGTCAGATTTGCCCCGGTTACAAGCAGATCTTTCCTAGTAAGTCGGTCAAAACGCAAACACGGCCGCACTGCCGGATTGATCACGTTTGGCCAATGTCAGCACATCTTTCTGTCGATAGCTGAGCGACAGGACACGCCCATCCAGAGATCGTAAACGGCACAACCGTGTTGCGAGTCGGACACTCTTGCACTTCGCCGCGGAACCTGCACCACACCGTGCATATCAATGTTTGCGACGCGTCACTGTTCCTGCTTGCAGATTAGAGTTGCGTGCACAGATTAAACACGTTGAAGCGGTCCAGAGCCCGTTACGTATTCAAGCAATGCACTGTGATCTAGACATATTTAACTTATCTAATCTTTACGCAGCACAAGCGGAAGTCCGCACGAATTCCGTTAAGTAAGTGCTACTCAAGTTGCGCAAGTACCATCCGCTGGGTCGACAACTTCGCCCGCTGGCGCCCTCAGCGAAGAATGCCCACTTGGGCTGAGCTGGGTGATGTTGGTTCGTGTATCTCTCATCTGAGATGCACGCGGCGGCCCGAATCTTGCATTTACCGATGTAGAAATCCACGATGTAGCTATCCTCTGTGTTTGCTAACCGTGCATTTCCCGAGCCCCTATCATACGGCACTTCTTCTTCGCCGTCGTGGACGGAAAATCCAGCAGAAATTTATTTTTCAAAAGCAAAAGGAATATGTGTTAAGCTTTCTTCGTCTTGAAACGATAGTTGTTGAAACGTTGGTGGCTGATTAGCAAGTGCCAAAGTTTTTCATATAAAACATTTTGCGCCATTTTGTGCATTGTTTTTGCAACTTGCACTTGGACTTGTACGACACCAAAGTTTCACAGTCTTGTGCAATCCTCGTTCTGAAAACTTCACAGTGGCATTTAGTTTTTTACACAACAATTTTGAAGCTTCTCACCAGGAAAGTCAATTGTTTACTATCATTAATAGAGTTAAAGAAAACGGTGAGTGCCAAAAATGATGTCAGCTCTTATCATAACAGATGAAAAGTAGAACGCAGGATGCTTCTAAACAGTACGGCGACGAATGGAAACGCTCTTGCAAGTTAATTGAAATACTTAAAGCTAAAAACTGTTGTTCTTATCGTTTCACACTTTTACAAGGTCGCACAACGCAACCCATGTGACCCTCTGGCTACGCCACTTCTTCCATCCGTCACTCCTTGTAATGTCATGTTGCACGCTCCCAAAAACCCATGAACTCCCGATGATTCCCCACCACACACCGCAAGTGATCATCGGCCCTGGTTCACGCTTCTCGCGGGTTCCCAGAAACCTCCCAGTCCTGGAGAGTTCCCGTGGCACATTTGTAGGAGCCGTCAGGCCTGAAGGGCGCGAGTTACCTCGGCTAGCTTAGGACTCGCAACATTTTGGAACTGTGATTCTAGAAAAAGTGGACTTAGATTCCGATTGGGAATCGGGATTCCAATTTTTTCACCGCAATCTCCAATTAATACAGTGCAATACAAAGGGGGACGGGCAGCTCAGTCCGGTGCGGAACTGGCATATACGGCCGCATTAGGCTACCTTATGGAAATTTGAAGCCAAGCAATATTCAATGCCTCTTGCCAATGATTTTAGACCCGACCCTTGCTTCAAACATAACAACATAATTGCACACAAGAGATATTGATTACGACTCAACATTACGTCAAACAAATATCATTATATTTTCGGCATACATCTTTCTATAGGTGACCGACGAATAGTGGATTGCGTCACTTGCACAGTAGATTGCGAGCGTGAGACACCACAGGTTGAGAGTTGTTGTGCTGAAAGCAATTTACCAACAATGTGTTACGAGCATCTTTGAGCGACGCATTGGTCGTATCGAGGTATCTTTGAGTGAAAGAAAACCGCGAAGTTTCTTTATAGAGCCTGTGATAATATAGCTTAAATATTGCTTGATAAAGACGTTTGACCAGCACCGCCTGGTATTTTCAGGGCCAGTTATTTTCGGCATGAGAAGTCTCTGCTCATAATGCCAGAAAACCTGGACCTTTGTGAATTTCTTGCTTGTGCTACGCGACTCGCATTTCATTAATACTACATTTGCAAAGTTTGCCGAAACGCTTTTTTCCGTTATAAAAGTACATCCACCCTGCGTCCCCACACCTTTTTTCAATGTCCATGTTATGTCTGTCAGACTGCTTGATTAATTAAATAATTAAAATAAATAGCACTTAATAAAAAGGCTAAAAGAGAGCAGCTATTTGCGTTCTGGGTAATAGGCTTCATGTAGACTTCATGTAAGAGGCTTCATGTTCCAAATAAACTTTCTTCTCTAAGATTTCATTCTACATAGCCGTGACAAGTCACATTTTCAAAAAGCTTACACTTCAGGAGGGTTAGCAAACAGAAAATATGACATGCAAATAATAACGGAGACACCAAAAAAGCTTACATTGTTAATATCCGCAAAGGCGCGCCACCTGGTGCCAAACTTAGTATGAGCTCATGCCGCACATTTCCTGAAACCCTTCAGCATTAATGAACCTAAGCTGGACATTCCGGACGTCCTGTCACCCTTGCTGAGCCCGTGTCGGGCGAGCGAGCTGTCCCGCTGCTCAGTAATTGGCAAAAGCCGAAATCCTACATGGGCAAAACCCGCGGTTTGATGACGTTTCGGACCGAAGTGCGGGCCGTTTTGTAGGTTAATACTTTGTGTCAGCATATCGTGCGGTGTGAAACATGGCGGCACTGGAAGCGGTGACCAGTCAAGGGGCATGGACCTCCTCTGCTGAGGTCGTTAGCGGACTTCCGGGGAAAAGCTGTTGCCTCAGCAAATATTGCCCGCAGGTCACAGACATATTAACCTCGTCTACAAAGGAAGTGATTACAGACGTCAGAATGCTGTGTGTGGGTATTGTTATACTGATAATCGCCCGGTCTCTCCAGATCAGGATATATTTCAGTCGTAAATTCGTCCAAATTAACGATAACGATATTCTGTTGAATATCGTTATCAATCCGACAGAACGCTTACGCTTAAAAGAATTTACGTACACATGCCAGAGGAGGTTTTCTTACCACTTGCAAGTTTTGTCCAACCACCACGCGTTGTAGAGCGTGGGCGTGGGCATGGATAGGCTTATTCATTGTCTTGCTTAGTCGCCACAAGCCTCTCACCCTCATCGGCGGATGAGAGGCCGGCGCAACATTCGCTCGGTTTGTCTCTGAGACCGTTCTCTCAGGCGCATCGTGATGAGAGTTGGATAGCTTAACTGTGAACCCATTTGCAGCTAGCATAACAGTTTGGTACCCTTTCTCATTCTTCGCGTTGGGTCAGTCACCTTATTAGCCGCAGGACCTCGTTCTTGAAGCTTTGCCCGGCACAAACTCACCGTGGCCCCGAGCTCAAAGTCACATGAGGTAAAATTGAATTCGAGTTAAAAATTGATTATACCCAAGTCGTTGTCAACATAAATTGCACATAATCCTAACGTCAGCGTTGTAGACTATGATGTTAAGGTAAAATCGAATTCGAGAAAAAGTGAATTGAGCCCACATCGTCGCCAACATGCATTTCACATAAGCCCAGCGTCAGCGCCATAGACAATGCTTTTAAGTGCATGTCGTCCAAGGTAAAGTCATCAGAGATCATGTGGGTGAGCCCGGGCTACACAACGTTGCACCTTAGAAGTGAATAGTGGTATGCCTTAACTTGTGTCAGATTTACTCGTAAAACATACGCGGAGCCATACAAAGGCTCTAAAACGTGTTCTGGCCTTGTCTGACCCGACCAAGGAACTCATCATCGAGAGATGCCTAAAATATCCGGTTAGGAGTTGTAAGTCATGTAAGGGGAATACCGTTCCATCCTCAAATTCTCTTTAAACACGTCGGTTGTGCAATAGGAAAGGGTGGTGGTACCCCTCCCCATTGTCCCCACCTCACCCCGCCCCATCAGAGGCGACCCGCGCCCCACACCCAGCACTCCGCACCCCGTACCCCGCCGAGTGCTAGGAACACTTAAAAGTTGACATTGTTACATGTAATGAGTAGATTTGTTTGTTGTTTTATCATCAGCACCATTAGTTTTGTGTCAAAATGTATATTTCGTATTGTTTTAGCGCAAGCGCCTTATTATTTTTTGTGCGTTTTAGTCAGCCGGGCCTCAGAACCAAAAACAAAACAATAAAAGGAATGCCACATCATAGGACTTTATAACAGTGATAGGAAATCGGGACCTGTTTAAAAAGGTTCTGATGGGTTCAGTCCATCATCATCTTTGGTCTACGCTATGCATAGCTTTAGCATGTGCGCATGTAGAAAACTAAGGAACGTTGCACAGTACGTAAGGGTTCACTCCGTCAAGTAGTGCGTTGATTAGTCCAATCTGTTTGCATGCATTATTAGTGACTTTTAGGTACAGATCCTAGTATAAAACAGGGCCAGTTACACCTGCAATGTTGTTAGCTTCACAGGTAAGAATGCTCTCTTTGGCCGGCCTTATTTCACAGCAACAGTTTGGAGACCAGAGATCCATGCGTCTACAATCTCCACATTGCAAGTCCCGAACATCGCGTGTATACAACACCCACTGTTACGGTGATTGACTACCTGACGCGCACCATATATTACACGGCATCACCCAAGTCATGGCCATATTGTTGCGGGTGGCACGTGCGCCTTCGTGTGACCTGCGTTGGCCCGTCGGCCAGTGCACTAGCCCGCGGCGCGTGTCGTCCGGCGAGCCGATGACCCAAGGTCAGCCCTGCAGCCATCCTGCAGCCCAGCCGATGGCATTGACCCCGTCGATGGTGTCACGTTGCTGTGCGTTGCCAGGAAAGCCGCGGCTCAAAACAGCGGACCGAGCGGTGATTCCCGGCAGGCACCAGCTCGGCGCCGTAAAAATCGATGTCGGCAGGGCGCTTTTGTGAGCGTTGGGTACGCACAACTAGCCTTTTGCTGGCAGCGAAACACACGTGAAAGCCTCCAGGCCAGTTACCCGGCAGCATGTCATACGGCGCAGTGAAGCGTGCACTCAAGTTAAGCACATACGCTGTACGTACATGGTCACCCCTTTATTATGCTCTCGACTATTCATTTTGCTGCCATTATTTTCCGGTGGAAAGATGACTCGTGGTGCAAGGATATAAGTGTCTGGACTGACACCTTTTTGACCAGACCACGACTCGCGATGCACGGATATAAGTGTCGGGACTGGTGTCTTTTTAAACAGACCTACGCGGAAAGGTGCAGTGGTGTCTGACCAGATATGGTCGGCATGGCAAGAGCTGTACCACCGGACGAGAGACTCCGCAGTCCAGTCTGGATGGAAAGGTCACAGACAGAATGCCGCTGCACTGGAAGCGCCACCATTGAGTGACCGATTCGGGGGTACGTGCCTGATTGATTTTTACATACATTTGGAACTGAAAACACTTGCGCAGAACCATATATATACATACATACATACATATATATATATATATATATATATATATATATATATATATATATATACATATATATATATATCTATATCTATATCTATATCTATATCTATATATCTATCTATATATATATATATATATATATATATATATCTCTCTCTCTCTCTCTCTCTCTCTCTCTCTCTCTCTCTCTCTCTCTCTCTCTCTCTCTCTCAGAACCAAAACGTAGCCTGGTATCCCACAATGCGCTTGCGGACTCCGAGATGTCGCATCAATGCAGCGCAAGGCTCTGGCAGCGCCACATGTCGAGGAATAGCGAGGCCAGGGTATTCTAAGCCATGCCTTTAGGTTAAGGCTGCATTTTGAAGACAAATTTTCTTGTCGCCGTTGCTGAGGCATGCTTTACCGGCGGGCTCTGGCGTGTTTTCAAGCTGATTTCGACTTCCAGCTGCCCTGGATCGGGTCCTTGAAGGTGCAGAAGAAGAGGCGTCCATGTAGAATCTTGAGCTTATTGTGCCATAGCTAGGATGGGCAAAACTATCGGACAACGCATATGTGGCTGATGTGTTGTAACGTTATTTTTTAACGCAAGATTGCATAGCAGATACCGCCCGTAGTCCCAATTACTAACGATTGAACGCGTTTTCGAAATAGAGAGCACCGTCACAAAGACAGCTTAATGGCCGTTGGAAAGACACAAAATGTATAGATTTTAGCAAATGAAGTGGGGTCTTCCGTGACCACTTTCCTTACATTCCTAGGTTTACATCCAGTTGTCTAATTTCTGTTCCCCCAACAAATAGAGCGAGCGGAAAAATGCAGGATTGTTTTAATTTAAGCATGCGATTGTGAACAGGATTATCTTAACTTACTTTTGACACTCACGGCAGGCACGCGTTCCCACGTATGTTGTATAACTGATACAGAGCCGCTATGTTTTGTGTGTAATGTGCTGTTATAGCAGATGACAAATTTCCCCACTTTCCAAAAAGGAACATTTTTCACTTTCCACTTTCTCATATAACCTCCGATGCCCTTATTCACTTGAAAGAGCTGTTCTAAATTTGTGCGTTAAATCTAGAACAAGCATTATTGACGTCATTGCTCGAGAGAATCGAACACCAGCTCGCATGGTCACGACCAAAAGAGATCGCTTCATACTTTTCTTAGCCCAACCGCAGCAAATGACAGTTTCTGTGTCTGACGATGCGTTATCTATCACACACACACACACACACACACACACACACACACACACACACACACACACACACACACACACACACACACACACACATACACACATATATATATATATATTATATATATATATTATATATACATATATATATATATATATATATATATATATATATATATATATATATATATATATATATAGATGTACATGTAGATACGCCTTTAATGATTCATTTGCATTATTAAGTGCAAGCGAGAAGGCCAACTCGCATTTCGTTTAGAAATTACGTTATGTTGTTCGATACCCGTCACGTCCGCCTAGGGTCCGCCTATGCTGATCCTTCGGCCTTGACTGCAGCCGTAAGCCAGCAATCACCACCATCTGCATTGCTCTTTTATTTTCAGCTGATCGTTAATCAAGGTCTTGGTGGTAATTGTTACGTGCCTGACCGGCATTTGTTGTGACCCAGACACGCCTTGTACATTCCCCCATTGGCTGCCTGACCCTAATCCAAGAACCTGGTCGTTTATTATCTAGGTATCAGCCGGCGCCACATTAAGCGCATTCGCCTCGGAAGTCTGGCCGGCTTTATGTCCGGCGCCGTGTCCATTTAATTGGGCATTAGCAGGGTGGCGTCTGAGTCGCCGACTGAGTGCTACAAAATGACGCCCGAACGGTCCCTCCCGGGGTGGAGTCGCCACTGCTAGCCAAGGTCAGTGGGGCGGCGACAATTGGCGCGGGCGGGGTCGACGGCGACCCACCGGTGCCTGGCGCCGGCGGCACCCGCGGTGTTGCCCCAGGGGGCCGCAGGCAGCCTCAGCTCGCGACCGGTCAGGGTCGAGGGGGGGGGGGGCGGACGTCACTACCGCTTCGGTCGTCAATCTTAGGACCCCGCGTGCACGCACGTGCCCGTGCACTGAAGATAAGTGGGTCGGTAGTGGTACGGAGCGGAAGTGCGTGGCGCACCGCAGACACGAGAGGCGACTTCCGCCTCGTGCCCGCGGCGGATCGCCGTCTCGGCTGTCTCGCTGTCCCATCGTTCTCGGCTGTCTGGCGATACAAATGGTGATTACTGGCCTGTGCGGTTATTTTGGCATATAAAGCAATCGCAGCGTGGCGTCCATTTAGAGATGATTGAAAAAGTTAGTAGGCACTTCCGAATGATGGCCGGAAAGCGAACACAGGACTAAAAACGATTTACGACGACAGTGATTGCAGTTGTTTGTCGGGAAATCAAGTGAGAGAGAAGCTTTACGATTTCAATGTTCTTCACGCCACAGGGGTTTACACGCCCATACTAATTCAACCCAGAGGAACAAAGAGCGTTCATAAACTCAAACCTATTCGTGCCAAAAGCTTCACGCCCTAAATTGCGGTGATCGTAAATAGCACGGCATGTGTTAGGCAGAAATATAAGCATGGAGTCACAGTGCTCGTACCCCGGATGCTCAAGGACAAGGATGCAGGGTAGCCCTAGAGCCGATTTCCCAAACTATTCACAGTCTATCGTAGCTTGTGTGGCAGAATAAGTTCAGATCAAAACTTGCGGCATGCTCAGGCAGCCAGCGTGGATAAGCGGCCAAAAAGCCTCAGAAGGTACGGAGAGATTAATTAGAAAAATAGCGCGCATTTTTGGCTTTGCGAGTGCAAGGCGTAAAATGATGTAACAGGCAACAAGTATGATCAAATATGCATCAAGTCGTACGGAGTCAAAAACGTCGCTTGCCTGGCAAAATCAGACCTCAACACAAAATATTAACTGTTTCTCAAAAGAACGGTAAGTTGTCCGCGCATAACCTTGAACTGCCCACTTTTTGGGTGGCATAGGTAGCCGGCAAAGATGACATACTTTCACGTGCAAAAGCCACCAAGGTGAGAACATAATTATAGAAAATCATGCCATATTACATTGGGTATGGCTGACCAGTCATGTGCTTTGCTGACCTCCAGTCAGTGCTCTGAAACATGAGGCCGTTTGTACAAGGCTTCGCACGCAGCCGGCTCCTTTAGAATATGCTTAATTTTCAGTATAACGCGCAGGATGTCTGGACTGAGACCAACGTGGGGTGGAAGGCCGATGACGCATTAAATAGCAGTGCGCAGTGTTTGACTGATCCACATGCCTTTTTCAGATGGGGGACCTGCACGTGTACCTGGTGCCACGGGAGAAATGGTCGGCGCCGCGGCGGCTGGCCGAGCGCACCTCCCGCAACGACACCATCTCACTGGGCTTCGTCAGGTGAGACCACAGGCGACACCAGGCCACTGTGGCTCTGGAGGGAGCTCGCAAACGACACCGCATGGCTGGGCTTCGTCAAGTGAAGCCACAGGCGACACTTGGCCACAGACACCATATGGCTGGGCTTCGTTAGGTGGCGTCCCGGGCGACAACATCTCGGTAGACTTTGTCAGGCAAAGTCCCAAGTGACGCGAAATTATGGTTGTTGCAAGATGATATTAAAAGCGGGCGCCGTATCCCTGGGCTTCCTCAGACGAGGTCGCAACAGAAATTGTCTTCCTACGCTGTGGCTGCGATAGCCGTACGTTGTGTTGGCTCACAAAATGTGATCGTGCATATTGATATCACCCTCACTACCGTTGTTCCGTTCTGTTTAGCCAGGACGTGTGTCGCGTAGAGAGCTTACGGCGAAGATGCCTGAGTTTTTCGCCGGGCCTGCGGTATTAAACTGCAACGTCTACCATCCCAGACCTGCCCAGCCTGACACGCGCGAAAAAAACGACAAAGAGTGCCTACCGTTGGCGTGGTGCCGAGTCTATGTCATTAAAGTCTTCACTCGGACGACTGTGTCACATGCAGACAGTTCAAGGTGATGTCAATCGCCATCAAGTTATCGCCAGCGTAACAACTGCCAACTGAGTGTGAGGCGGCACCATTCATGGGAGCCAGACCAGAGACGCCTCGTCGTAACGGTGCCGCCATCAGCGCCAGGTCGATACAGGCCCGGCCTCTGGAGGACCGCTGGGTGGGGTGGCCTCTTTGTGGGTCGGCACGAACGCCCAAGCAGGCACGCACGAGATATGGGCACGCTTGACCGAAAAACCTCTCGTCGAACGCTATTTACCGGGTTCGCGTGCGGCAGCGGACAGCGCTGTTTTGCATGTGATACATCGGAAATACCAGATGTGGATCGTACTGTATGTGCTGCTGCTGATATATTGCTGGCACGGACACATGCATTGAATTTGTATTTTATTTCGCTTTGCTTGAGACCTATCCACAAGATGGCTCTTCAGGTATTCGGCTTGTTACAGCGTTCTCTAGGTTCGGTTCGTTGCAAGACTCACTACTCGTTACAACACATCACAAAAACGCTATAAAAGACGATACTTAGAAATGTACTATAAAATAAGATATTACAAAATTTCTGCACAGTACAATACTGTGAAATACGATACGATGAAATACGATACAACAAAATTTGATACGATGAAATACGATACGACAAAATACGATGCTACAAAATAGTACGAAGTCAAACGATGAATCCAAGAGATGTTCTAAGTTGACAACAAAATGTATCAAACCCAGCGTGCACATACAAAGATGAATGAAAATAAATTGCAAGTGCATGAGATCCACATTGACATGGAAGTACCACACACATACGTACACCTGACGCACAATCACACAAGTAACCAGCACGGGCTTAAAACTAAGACGAATGACCCAACATTTACGTTTTAAATCGCGAGTTTCTAACCCCTCAGGGACATAGGCAACGTGGTGATGGGAGGCATGCGTTTCGAAATTGCCGCGGCAGGATAAGGACAGTCTCGCTCGATGGGGTCCAATCGGTTCCTGAACAGGTGGAGGGACATTGACGTGGAGGAGTGTGCCTCCCTTAGTGAAACAGGGGAACGTGGCCTCAAAAGAGAGTGGACAGCCGGAGACGATTTTTTGGATCTTAGCGCTTTGAATGCTTCCAGTTTTAGCACGTCCCTCTCTTTTACCGGGTCATCAATCTGGGGCTAGCTTAGAGATCCCAAAATCGGTGCTATATACTGGTTGCGTTTTATGCCAGAGACAATCCTGGCGGAAAATTTGTAACTTTTTGAATCTTTTTCAAACTATTTGCCATGGTTGCAGACAATCAAGGGCAAAGGGCAGTAGGGACAGGAAAGGTCACAATCGTATCACACGAAACTTTGGGAGCAGCTGAGAGGGCGATTGAGAATACACTGCGCGGTGGAGCGGGCCTCACAGTTCGACTATGGAAATCGTTCCGTGTACAGATTATTGCATTCGTATACTGCAAAAAATCACGTGGGAGACTTGACAAAAAGATGAAAGTCAGGGCATGAAGGCATCATGTTTTGGGTTGCTTCATATAAGCAAGGAAGGCCCCGCACGCCTGTTAAGCTTGAATTTATCTGTGCTGACAATAGCCGGCACTCAAGACGCCAGAAGAGAAAAGCTAAACGGATTATTAAGCAAACATTGGCTGCGTTGTCAAAACTGAACGTTTCAAGCTGAGTTCATGCCCACTAGCGGATACAAACGCACGGACCAGCGGAATTAAGACCCGTGACGATGAGCATGGCTTGAAACGTCGGGTTTTCACAACTTAAACAACGTTTGCTTGATAACGTTATTTAAGCGATGCCTCCTGATGTATTGAAGGTTTGTTGTCAACATGACAATTTCAAAAAGTGTTTCGGGGTGATCTTTTTTGGCCGCTGCTGTTACGTGCTGGCGTTTTGTTGCTACATGAAACAAATGACCGGTATCCATCCACGTCACATACCACCACGGATTGAAACAAACAAGTCCCGCCGCGCCCGGACCTCGGCGGCGTGGAGCTCGTCGAAAACACACCCTGCGGCACGACAGCGTTGTTTGAAATGGCGAGCGAACGTGGCCGTACAATTTGCAATTACCTTCCTTGCGGTATGCCTGTCGAACCTAAAATATTTGTAAATTCAGGGGTGCCGTCAGGTGAACGCGAGCGCGCCGTCAGGTGAACGCGAGTAGTATGGGGACCCCCCACATGGAGCCTATGAAGACATCATGGAGCCTCACATGGAGCCTATGAAGACATCCGGACTGTCGGTCCAGAGCTATACACGTTTCTGGTAAGGAAAGTACTGTACCATTCCTTTCAAATAAACCTGAATGTGATATGAATGAAGGCTGGTTATGTGTGCCTCCTGGATGGGTGCTGGATGTGTTGTAGGCTTGGCCCCGCGGTTGTCAAAGTACGTGGTCGGTGCTCGGAAGGTCTCGCGTCCTAGATCAAGGAGAGGTCCAGTTACAAGGACGCATCTAATGAGGTCCACCCTTGGAGGGGCCATGCCGCAAAAACTACGAAAAAGCAATAATCTTCCCCTTTAAAACCTTACGTTTAGTTTTATTAGTGTAAGCGTTGTGCCTTCAAGAATGAACGATCTGATTGCATTCCCGCTCAACTCACCTTCGACTGACCGACACACTTTTTGGGAGAACCTGGTGTATGATGTCGCATGTTGGTCAGCCCGAGTCAAAATACCAATGTTCAAAGACGCTGTGACTGTTGTCATCATTGATGCAACTTTCTCGACCGTGGAAAGACAGCGGAAGAGCACCGTGGAGTGAGATGACCACACGCCGCGTAAGAAACATACGAAAACGAGCGTGCATACAAAACAACGGAGTTTGAGCGGGCCGGCAATATTGTGGGTGTATTTTTGTAAGGATGAACAGAAGGATGCACATCGGCACATGAACAATGTTCGGAGGTGAAGGGGTCGCTTATTTCATAAAATGATTCGTAGATGCAGCATAAAAACATATGTAACAGAGAATACGATAGGGTTCAGCCGAAGAACTGACTCCTTCACCCTCATCAAGCCCGCCTCCGAGACGATCAAAAGGAGTGACACCAGTGGTAATTGCAAGTCTTTCTGACCCAGGAAAAATGGGATCAACTTTAATTTTGTATGGTGTCATCTTTTTCCAGCTTCGATGCTAATAATGTTTACGTATTGCATAGCGACGTGCTAGAATAGGACAGTATTTAACATTTGTAAGCCACAAAAGGGTGTTGCAGCATCCACAACTTCTAAAAAATCATCGCTTTTGACCATAGGAAGATTTCAATCTTCCTAAAGCGGTTCGTGACTATCAAAGGATTCCTTGGGCGCTCATTTCATCGCTATTCATGGCTGCAATATTCTGCAACACTTTGGAACAACTTTAACATTGATTTCTGGAGGTTTTGTAATGCTACGAGATCGGTGATAATGCTCGTTTTCTCCCTTGATGCTCCCCTTGGCATTCAATGACAGTAATCCTTACCGTTCAGTCCATGTTGAAGACCTTCAAAAGAACATTCAGTCCTTCAGTTATCAGCTGCACCCCGTGCTCCTCTCAGAGCGATCTACATTGGCGAACTGGCAAGTTCCTCGTGAGACACATAGGTAACTTATCTGCTCAGTGTGGAAGCCGAGGTTGGAATTGGGGTCATCACGGCATTGGGAGGAGTCCGTGGAGTAGTTCTTCCTTTGCTGTAACGGTCTGACACGAGCTGGACTACAACACGTTCTGAGAGCACCTCGCCTGCCACCCCGCGACTCTACGTTTTAGGCTTCAAGCACCAGCCGATTAAGGCTTAATTTGAAATCTCATCCATTCCAACCGTAATGGGTTCTGCTATCCAATTTTCTGCCGACTTGGGGTATTTTAGGAACCTTTACACCGCGCCTGCGCAGTTCGCTTCTTCTTGACATATCCGGCTATGTCCCACGAGGAGCTCCGATGCCATTCAAATAAAGGGGCAGTCGAGTACAGCTAATGCGTCGATGCCCGTATCATTTGCGGTGAGTTCTCATCCTTAGGTATCGCCAAAACAGCGTCCTTGCGTCCAGTGTCCTTATGAAGGGCTGCTTCCTCAATGTGTGCTATTCTGAGGCTTATGGCTGAGATCTTATGCCGGCTTTGTCGAGCGCGACATCTTCCGTAAACATCTTTACGAGCGTTTTGTGACGACTTTGCCGAGTCGCCCTACCATAACACTTTATTGGCACCGTTCCTGCTCCTACGAAAGCTGTTTCATCTGGCTGCCTGTCTCCCGAAATGTGATCGTCCCTTTTCCGTGGTTCATTATGCTCCGATAGTCCACTTTTTTGGCCTCCTCTATCCACATGGTTACTAGTGTCTTCAGGCACGTGCGCGGAAACGCTGTGTGCATGAGGGTCTTTGGCCTCACCCGCCCCCTGGACTGCTATTAACTCATCCAGATT